AGAGAGAGAAAGGGAGGGAGGGAGGGAGGAAGAGAAACATTGATCGGCTATCTCTTGCACGCACCCAGACCAAAGAAGAAGCCATGACCTAGGTATGTGCCCTGACTGGGAATCAAACCCCCAACCTTTTGGTGTATGGATGACGCTCCAACCAACTGAGCCACCAACCAGGGCACAGTGAACTTCCCACCTCATATGACATGCTTGTCTGACAATCTGATCAGCACTTGCTGAGAACAATTACTTTTTCTCAGTGGGAACCCCATATGGAGAGAATTACTAATGATGTCTCTTCCTCCTCTGCAAAAACTGAGATGAATGAAATAGCAGAATGGCCAATTTCCTCCCCAAAGAATCTGGGTGGACGATGTTGTCCATCCTTGAAATTCATATTCAATGATCTGGGTAATGAGACTGTTTAAACTGGAAAAACAAGCCACCCGGTAGCAGATATCATCTATGAATTTGTGATGTGCCTGTGTATATGCCACAGAATTTCAACTGTGAAACAACATGAATGATGCTGTCTTGGGGTGGGGGGAATGTGAGGTTTCTGTCTTCCTTTGACGTCAGTGTTTTCCAAGCTTTCTAGGGTAAGCGTGTATTACTTCTGTTTCCTCGTGTGCTGTGTGATTGGAAACTCAGCTCAAGGGGGGTTTTACCTGAGAGCATCTGTCAGCTGAGGTCGAGAGGCGACGCATTTCCTTCTCTCAGGTGCCCTAGAGTGGTCACTGGTATCAGACCATGCTTTATGGTAACTTTTCAGTTCGGACATTCCTGGGCGGGGCAGAAAGTATAAGTCCAAATCCCCAACCAATGTGAGCATAAGGCCGTAGTTAGAATTCTCTGGAGAGACTTCCTTTTCCCTCCTAAAGCCCAAGCCAAGAGAAACATGCTTTTTGTGCTCTTCCTATGCTGATGGCAGTTGGTTCTACACCAAATTTTATTGGGGGACACCCTTCAAGAGGACCTCTGCCATGTGTGCATGCAAGGCTCTCTCTCATGCCCACAGTGTCAAACCCTCAGCTACTCTATTCGGAAGACAGAGTCACCTGAAGCATGCTTACAGTGTCCACTTAGTTTCCTCTTTGCTTCTGACCTGGATAATTTCCTTATCCAATTATGCATGTAAAAGGACACCTGTTGCCTTGGCTGGTTTTGCTCAGTGGTTAGAGTGTCAGCCTGCCGACTAAAGGGTCCTGGGTTCGATACCAGCTGAAGGCACCGTACCTCAGTTGCAGGCTCGATCCCCGGCCCTGTTGGGGTATGTGTGGGAGGCAACCAACCGCTGTATCTCTCTCACATCGATCTTTATGTTTCTCTTTCTCTCCCTTCCACTCTCTTTGAAAAGCAATGGAAAAAATATCCTCCAGTCAGGACTAAAGAAAAAAAAAAAAAAATTAAAAAGGATACCTGTTAAATTATAAACAGCATTCTTAGGTGCTTTGTAGCAGAAGAATTTTTAGGTTAGCTAGACTAACATACTGTCAGAGACAGAAACTGCATGCATTGCTTTTGTGAAGGAAAATAAGCTTGAGTTCTCATAATTAACACCCATGGTTACCTGGGCAGCCCGAGAAGACAGTGAATGGCGGGACCACAGTTTCTGGGGGTAATACTGTGTTGTCAAGAATTTTGCAGCAGTCTTTCAACACACATCGACGCCCCTGAAATTAAAATGTTATTAATAGGAAATAGATCAGGAAATAAAAGTAAACATGGACAGCTAGTTTATATTCTCTTCATTAGCCAGGAATAGTGGCAAGAGGCTTGGCCACAATTCCCTACTTCAGATGGTACCTGTCAAGCAGGAGGAGGTAGGAATGAGTGTGAGTGTGTGTGTGTGTGAGTGCACATCTGGAGCGGGGTCTATAAGCTAGGTTATCTTAAGCATTACAGATTATATGAAATTCGGTCTTCTAAGGGTTCTGTTTAATTTTCTTTTCTTTTTTTAATTTAGTGGGCATCTGTTTTGCTTGCCCAACATATGTTCGCCTTTCCTCTGGTAACGGAACCTGTCTCTCCCCTGGGAACTACCCCTATGCCCAGCTCAGCCCGTGTGCCTCAATCCCATCTCACACTCCAAAATCCAAGCTGGCCATAGAGACTGGCTTAGGGAATTGACATTTGAGCCAAAAAACAGTCTAATGAATCTCAACGTCAGGGCTTCTGCTGGGACCACTGAGAAAAGAAGCTCCTCCCAGAGAGGTTTCTAAAGGACAGGACGGAAGGGGAACAGCCATCTTGCTTCCATGAGGAAAGACCCTTCCTGAGAGCCTCCCAGAGGAAAACAGAAAAGCGAAGGAAACTGATTCTCATGACTTCATTGAGGCCCTAGAACCACTTGTGCAGGAAATTAGAATCCACTTCTATACTTGTGATGTGTATTAGCCCATCCATCCACCGAAGGCTGAACCTTATGTCTGACTTTATGCACTGCCACCAACTTTCAGCTCTGCCACCACCCATGGCTTTCTGAGGGCAGGAGAGGAGGTCTGGGAGAGGCGTGTGTTCCACGGTTAAGGGCAAGCAGAGGTTTCTGTATACAGGTTAGAGGAGTGCCTCAGGTTACTGCTATAAGTTTTGTTCTTTACTGACTTACATTTACATCCCCAGGGCCTGTAATCCACTGTGTTCTGGTCAGATGATCTGACACAATATACCTGGCTGAGAAGGGGAACTCCTAACAAATACCAGGACAATGCTAACCTGTTGAGATCTCAGATTTTACCAAAGAATATGAAGTATATTTTCATTTGGTTGTGTCCAAATTTTCCCCATTATTAAATACCCAAATCAGATGTATTTCCAGGAATTAACAGGTAGATTGCCAAATGAATTTTTTACCTCTAAAAAGCTTACACTTCTAAGGTCTGAATTTCTAAGTGTCTACTAACTTGTCTCTAGCTGGGTGGACAATACTTTGGCAACATCTTTAGCTCAGAAGCAAGTCATCACTGCAGCTACCCATCCTCCTTGCAAAGTGCTCTTCGATGAATTCCCTGATACTGGCAATTTCAAAAAATCCAGCAGCTGACCAGCTCCCTGGTGATTTCCAAATGACTCAAAGATGACATCTTAGCTCCTAATAACTCAGACTAAGCACATGGGGCCCTGAATAGAAGGAAAGAGAACATGCTGTATAAGGCATGATACATTCACATAGAGAGATCTGTGCACAGTGGGCCCTGACAAAGAGGAACAAGGGACACAAATCTTCTCACTGTACCACCAGTCACCACACAGCCCGTATGCTCCTGCTGTGTCCACTGGTTGACCATTCTGCCCACTCAGAGAAATGAGGCTCAGCTGGGCTTCAGAGTATTCTGGGTAAACGGATCAACTAGAAAGCAGCAAAATAAAAAATGCAGGTACTTCTTAGGCATAATGGATTGGCAATTAGTGGAGAGGTTAACAGCTAAAACTATTTTATTCTTTCCTGGAGAACTTTCCTGAAGAGGTCAGGAAGTACATGTTGCCAGCATTAAGCCACCTATATCTCCTGATGCAAGTTATTTAGCATCTCTGAGCCTTGGTGTCCTCACCTGTGAAACAGGATGTAAAACCAACCTGCAGGGATGCTGTCAGGATCAGAGGGGTAAATGTACAACTCACGGCACAACAAGAGTGCCTATTAATACTGCCTGTTGGGCTTTTCCTGCAGGCATCTGGGCAATTCTGATTAATACCTACAACTTCACATATCCAAACAGAGACCACACTATCACACGGAGGCTATAAGAAGGATCTGTGTCATGGGGCATGCCAGACTCTAAAATTAGAGTTCCTGCCAGCTCTAATATTCTAGAATCCTAAAAGAATCTTTCTCCTCACATTACCTGAGAATCTGTAAAGGCTCAGGAAATAAGTACAGTACTACCAATACTGAGCAACGACTTTGTCATGACAGTCAACTGAAAAGTGACCCAAGAAGCAGAGTGCCTGACAATAGGGCTAGAATTCCCCAAGCCCTGGGAGCAGCATCTGGATTGGATCTTTTCAGATATCTGCTCTAGGGCTAAAGGACAGGGCTAAAGGATAGGGCTAAAGGACTCTGCAGGTATGGCGATGTCTTCACCTTGCTGTGGGAAACACCAGAAAAACCCAGCTGTGGCTTGGAAGGTCAAACAGGGTGAGGGACAGGCTGGATTTCGCTATCTTCTCTTTCATCAATGGCAGGCCAACCCACAGACTTTCTGTCTAACACTAAGAACTCTGGAGGTGCATACTTGGCAAAACAACCACTGCCCTTAATTCTGGGTAACAAGTCAGGTTGGAATGTTTCTTGTGGGATTCTTGTGGTTCTCCCCTGCACCATGCCCTTGTGGCTCCTGGAATATTAACTGTATAGATGCTGCAAGTTTTCTGATACTTCAGAGTCGGAGTCTTATCCAGAGCAGAGAGCCAGCTCTGTGTTAATGGGAGCAGCCATTTAATAACATGAAAAAGTATTGGCTTTTCCTAGAATCTTGTCTGAGGTACAAGTTTAAAGTGTAGGAAACAGCCCAGCCAGCGTGGCCCAGTGGTTGAGCATTGACCTATGAATCAGGAGGTCACAGTTCGATTCCTGGTCAGGGCACATGCGCAGGTTGAGGGCTCCATCCCTAGTGGGAGGTATGCAGGAGGTAGCTGATCAATGACTCTCTCTCATCTCCCTCTCCCTTTCTCCTTCTGAAATCAATAAAAACACATATGTTTTTTTTAAAAAAGGTCCATCTTGTGTGAAATCTTTAAAAATAAATAAATAAAGTGTAGGAAAACATTTTCCCTAAACAGAATTTGGCTCTAATCATTAACATTCTCATAAATCCTAACTGAAACCAAGCTCTTCGTCTATGAAATACCAAGAAACCCAACTTTGTGAAGACTTAGTGGGATCAAAAAGCTGATGCCGAGGCTCCCATGAACCAGGGTCCTATGGGTTCTGTTGCACAAGGGGATCCTGTGCACCCTGCATGCCCATCACCCTCAACTACCTGCAGTTCCCTGCAGTCATGTCCTGTGATGACTCTGAGTCAGTCTCTTAACTGAAATGCCCACCCTCCCCCGTCTAGGAGCCAATTTCACCTCACCACACCAGACAGTAAGATCCCTGAGGTAAGGCAACAGTAGGCCGTATAGCAGAGTGGCCATTCATACCACCCAGCTCTACTTAATAGCCTCATCGATCCTCTAGTATCTAAGGTCTCCAGTCTTCTCACCTGCAAACAGGGAGAACAATAGCATCTACCACCCTTGGAGGTTGTGAGGAGCAAAAAAACATGGAAGGAAAGAGTTTAACACCATAGGGAAGAGTTTCAATAAAGATCAGCCATGGTCATTAATGCAATTATAATGCCAGTAGACCAGAAACTACTTCTACCTTGTCTGGTACAGAAGCAGAGGCCCACTGATGTGAGAAACAGGAGCTAGAGGGGAAGCAAGGCTGCTTAGCCAGCCAAGTCACCATACTCACAATCACACAGTTCTTGCCAACATGAACATAAGAGCCAATCTGAGCAGCGTTGACCACACAATCTTCCTCAATAAAAACATGGTCCCCAATATGTAAAGGGAAGAATGCAACGCTATAGAAAAAAAAGAAGATGAACAAAGAAAGGTCAAGGTGATGAATTTCTGGTCAAGGCTTACAGAACTACAGATCCTAATCTCAACTTCATCATCTTGTCCTAATAAGACTGTTCCTAGCAAGAAGGGAATCCTCAGGCTAGGAAAATTCTATAATTCTACTAGCTCAAAATCAGAAATATTAAACCAAGGAAACAGCAAGGCAGAAGGGGTAAGATATTCTAAGCTAAAAGAACTAGCACCATGCCCTGGCAAGTGTTGCTTAGTGGTTAGAGCGTCAGCCTGCACACCAAAGGGAATTGNATGCCCTGGCAAGTGTTGCTTAGTGGTTAGAGCGTCAGCCTGCACACCAAAGGGACTTGAGTTCAATTTCCGGTCAAGGGCACATATGTGGGTTGTAGGTGTGCAGGAGGCAACCAATAGATGTGTCTCTCTCACACTGTTTTTCTTTCTCCCTCCCTCCCTTCCACTGTCTCTAAAAAAGCAACGGAAAAAATATCCTCGGGTGAGAATTAATAACGATGACAGAAAGAACTGGCACCGTATACAAATGAGTGAATGTGTGCTTATTTCTGCTTCCTTTGAAAATGCTCACAGATCACATTTTTAGTAATCCGCTCTATAATACGCCAGGGACTGACATCAGGTTTGTGAGATATAATTTCTAGCACCCAACATTCGAAAAATGTATATATTCATTCATTTTATTGAGTTTCTACTATATGCCAGACTCTAAGCTAGAATTGGGGATACAATGGCAAGGATAAGCAATGCAATCCTGCCCACAAGGAGCTTACAAGAGAAGAAACAAGATTAAATAAATGATTATATGTAAAGTAGTTACAACTGAAGGAAGTGCTACAGAAGAAAAAAACCATGTCATATGAGGATATAACAAGGAGACTTGACCCAGAATGGAGGTTTGGTGAAAGCTTAATCGAAAGTGACATATATAAGCCAAGACTTGAACATGAGTAGCAGTTAGTGGCTTTCTACAGGCTTCTAACACTGCTCTCACTCTCCAGGATTCCTAAAGTGTCATGGGCAGAGGTTCTGTGATCATACTTATAAGTAATTTCAGTACCTTGGGATAGGAAATATTTGGGCTGGAATGAATATAAAGTAGCTGGATGCTCACTGGCTCTTTTCAGCCCTGCATTCCATTCTAAAAATATGAATGAATTAAGAAAAATTTAAAGAGTAAAATGCTCTTTAAATTTTCCTTAATTCATTCATTTTTTATCTGTACACCTTGTGTGGCAATGAAGTTCCTGACCTCATCATAGTCTACAATAGTACTGCCAGTTCCTCAATCTTTTTTTGAATTTTTTAATATCTTTATTGATTTCAGAGAGAGGAAGGGAGAGGGAGAGAGAGAAACATCAATCATGAAAGAGAGTCATTGACTGGCTGCCTCTTGCATGCCCCCGACTGGGGATAGGGCCCGCAACCCGGGCATGTGCCCTGACCAGGAATCAAACCTCGATTGCCTGGATCCTAGGTCAACACTCAATTGCTGAGCCACGTCCAGCCGGGCTGCAAAGTTCATTCTTGATGCTTTTCTTGGACCATATCTAGCCCAATAATGCTTTTAGCAGAAAGTGGAGTCAACACCTCTAGCAGAATATCAGTCACTGCACAAAACCACAAAAGGGTACCTACCACAAGTGTTCTGATTTCCCCCAATAGCCTTCTGAGTTAATGAGTGAATAGTTTCCCGTGAGTGATTTAGAGTGACGAACTGCTCCAACCCCTGTATATCATGGAAAGCCTAGAGCCCAAGATCATTATGGGAGATACAGGATAATTCCTGTATGATACACTCCCAGATATTAAAGTTAGTCTGGCCCAGCAGGTGTGGCTCAACAATTGAGCACCGGCCTATGACCCAGGAAATCACGGTTTGATTCTGGGTCAGGGCACATGCCTGGGTTTCGAGCTTAATCCCCAGCAGGGGGTGTGCAAGAGGCAACCAGCCAATCAATGACTCTCATTATTGATGTTTCCCTCTCTCTCTCCCTCTTCCTTCCTCTCTCTGAAATGAATAAAAATATATTAAAAAATAAAAAGTTAGCTGCTCTCTTTTCTGTTCCTCCTTTACATTGTTCATATCAATGTGACAGGACTATCACATTACATAGTGGTGATCACGTTATAGTATCACATTATATAGTAGCTATGTGTTTATGTAAACGTTTCTACCACTAGGTTTGAAGAACCCTGAGGCAGGCCCTGGCCAAGTAGCTTAGCTGGTTAGAGCATGATTCCAATACGCCAAGGTTGCAGGTTCAATCCCTGGTCAGGGCACATATAAGAATCAACCAATGAAAGTATAAATAAGTGGAACAACAAATCCATGTTTCTCTTTCTCCCTTCCTCTCTAATAATAAATTTATTTTAAAAAACAACAACCTTGAGGCAGGAATGCTATTTTATCTATCTTTATATGCCCTGCTTATAACTTAGAGACTGGCATAAGGAGAGTATTCAATAAATGCTTGTTGAATTCCTGGATGAAATGCAGATGGTGTCACAGGTAGGAACCAGGAGAGTAAATTAGCCAAGAGAATACCACCATAGCAGGTATAGTGGCCAGCTTTCCAGCCCTGTCCATGCCCTTTCTTGGACACTCCTTATTCCCACTGTGAGACGAGTAGGCCTGACTTGATCTGGCCTCTGGATCACAACTATTAGACAGCTATCAGGGGTGAACACTTAACTCATGCTGAGCCAATCAGATTCCCTCTACCACAAATTTGAAATAAGACCTGAGATCTCTACTTGGTATCTGTTGGAAGTCTAAAAGGAGAAATGATATAAATAAGGGGCAGAGGCAGCAAAGTTGGCTCCAGGAGGAAAGGGGAAAGAGCCAATTTGAGACAGAGGAGAGGGAAACAGAAGTGCACAGAGAAGGGCAGATAAATACAAAGTATAATTTTGGAGAGAGAGAGAGAGAGCACTAGATACACAGAATAGTAGTCTTGATTCTGGCTAGGTGACTACTTTTGGGCTCTAGTCCCTTATAAGGCTTGGCCCCTTTTTCTACTCTTAGGTTCCATCAAATATGCCTGTGTGTGTTTATTTTGTTTATTTTTAATTTTTATTTTATAACACTTTATAGGAGTGACAAATTTATTGGAGTGACAATGGTAAATATGAACATATAGTTTTCAGGTGTGGGTTTCTATGTCACAAGATCTGTATATTGCTCTGTGTGCCCACCACCCGTTTGTGTCTGTTTAATAAGAACTCCCTTTGCTTTTGCCAGCTTAAGTGGATTCTGTTTCTGGAAACCAACCAACCTTCACCACCACCACCAGACTAGGACCACCACCACTAGAGCTGTGCCCATTTTGGTGAATTCTTACTCATTGTCTCCAACAATAGCACAGACCCATTCCTTACACCACAATTCAAAACATGGAGAATACCACCAGTAGCAACAGCTTGTCCAAGACTGAAAGAAGATAACTAAGTTACATACCCTTTGCTGAATTTCTTGAACGGTGGCCTTATGACACTCCGGCTTTTCACAACACAATGACGTCCAACTCTTACATTTGCCAGATCCCCTCGGATAATACAGTCATTCATCACAATGGTCTATAAAACAAACCACACTTATAAGTTATCGACATAAATGAAAACATAACAACAAAAAAAGAGTAGGTAATAAGATCCTGAATGAAAATTGTGCTATGACCTACTGAGTCACATATTCTATCTAAAGGTATAACTTACAAGGTTAAGACCTTCTTTGGACCCTGATTTGAACAAATCATTAAAAAAAAAAATCTTGAGATACTGGAAAGACTAAACATGGACTGAGGATTAGATGATATCAGGGAATTACTAGATTTTTTTAAAACTTGTAAGAGAAATTCCTTTATAACACTGACTGCATGGTTTGCTATTAAAGTTTGGTCTTGTGGCCTTCGCAAGCCATAGAGAGTGACTTTTATCTACATTACTTTTGGGTCACAAGGGCAAGTTTATTCACAAATGCCTGAAATTTGAATTCCAACCTGATGGGCAACTGAGATATGCCAATAACAGTAATTACAAAAATGATGTCATGGTCAGAAACGAGGCATATGTACATAAAAGTGTGATGGAGAAACTGAAGAGAATAATTGATGACAGTGAAATTACCAAAGAGAATGATGCCATGTGGCCTCCCAGGACAGAGTGGGCCAGCAGGAGCTTGAATTTGTTATTGGAGATGAACACAATTCTTTCACAACACCAAAAAATTGGTTCCCTTGATTCCAAGATGGCGGCAGATTAAGTGGAAGTTACACTGACATTCTCCCAGGACCAAACTGGAATTAAAACTAAAATATAGAAAAACCATTCTGAATAATCAACTGAAGAGTAGCTGGAGAGCACTCTCATAACCAAGGAGGAAATGTGGAGACAGAATAGAGACTGATAGGAAGTATGGAGGTATGAGAGGACTGGCAGGGCTCCCACAGGCAGCAGCTGAAGGTTTGGAGGGATATCTCAGCTGTGGGGGCTTCCCACTGAGGACTCTGGGGCCTAAATCCCAAGCTGGGATCCCCAGCCCAGAGCACCAGAACTGAGAAAGGTGCCCATATAACATCTGGCTGTGAAAAGCAGCCAGGTTTCTGTCTGCCAGGGAGAGAGGGCTGGAAACACAGGCACCCTCTTAAAGTGCCAATGCAGAATGTTTCATGTGCAGCCACTCACCTTGGGATCTGGCAAAGGGAGGGCAGAGTAGACTAGAATGGTGTGAAAGGAGTCTAGGGTTGTGGGCTCTTGAAATAGAGCGTAGAGGGCAGTCACCTGGATTCCTGTGTTGAGTGATTCCCTTATACTGGAGAGAACACCTTTCTCAGGCAGACACTTACCATCCAGGCATCGTTTGCCTGGGGGAGGGGGAAGCAATTGCCCACAATGCTGGAAAACCTCTCACCCTGCCCTGTGGAGTTTACACCGTGCTGTGGTCTACAGCATGAGTCTCATTATGAGACTCAGGTTAACAGCCTGAACACAAAGGCAGATCACTGGGTGCACTGAATCTTTGCCTGATCTGCTTCTTGACCCGGGCCTCGGAAAAGCAGACCTCGGTGTGCATCTTGGTCCTTTCCAATGGCACCCAGCCCCAAGCAGTGGGAGCCACAAGCTGTGGGTTGTTGATAGCTCCAAACAGGGTGCTCAAGGCCAGTCACAAATAGCATCTGAAATTGGCCTGCACCAGAGACCAGTCAAAAGACTGGGAGTCCTAGCAGATCTACCTAATACATAGAAACAAATCCAAACAGGCATCCAAAATGGATAGACAAAAAAACCAGCCCCAAATGAAAGAATAAGAGAATTCTCCAGAAGACGAGCTAAATGAAATGGAGATAAGCACTCTATCAGAGATAGAGTTCAGAATACTGATCATAAGGATGCTCAACAGCATGAGAAAAGAAATGGAAACTATGAAGGAAATTAAGAATGATAGCAGAAATAAAAAAAAAAAAACATTTGAAGGAGTAAACAACAGATTAGGGGAAGCTGAAGATCAGATCAGCAAATTAGAAGACAGTGTAGAAAAAAAAATCACTCAATCAGAGAACCAAAAAGAAAAAACAATTAAAAAAAGGACAGTTTAAGGGAGTTATGGGACAATAAGAAACATAACAATATTAGCATCACAGTAGCCCCAGAAGATGTAGAAAGTAAGCAAGGGTTAGAGAACCTGTTTGAAGAAATAATGGTAGAAAACTTCCCTAACCTGGTGAAGGAAAAAGTCACACAAGTTCAGAAGGCACAGAGAGTCCTAAGCAAAAAGAACCCAAAGAGGCCCACACCCACATCATAATTAAAATGCCAAAAATTCAAGACAAAGAGAGAATCTTAAAGGAAGCAAGAGAAAAACAATCTGTTACCTACAAAGGAGCTCCCATAAGGCTGTCAGCTGATTTCTCATCAGAAACTCTACAGGCCAGAAGGAAATGGCATGAAATATTAAAGAGACTAAACTCTTTCAGTCTCTTTTTGTCTGGGAAGCTTTTTATTTCATCTTCTATTTTGAATGATAGTCTTGCTGGCTGGTTAGAGTAGTCTCAGTTTCAGATCTTGCAATCAGCATTGCAAGAAATGTTAAGGGACTGCTTAATAAGGAGTAGAAATATATAGAGAAAGATAGGCATAAGGAATTAAAATGGCAATAAATGAGTACCTACCAATAATAACCTTCAATGTAAATGGATTATATGCTCCAGTCAAAAGACATTGGGTAGCTGAATGGATAAAAAAACATGACCCAAATATAAGCTGTCTATAAGAGACCCACCTCAGAACAAAAGACTCACACAGGATGAGCGTGAAAGGATGGAAAAAATTTTTCCATGCAAATGGAAAAAAAAAAAAAAGCTGGGGTAGCAATACTCGTATCTGACAAAATAGACTTCAAACTAAAGGCCATAACAGGAGTCAATAAAGGTCACTACATAATAGTAAAGGGATTGATTCAATAAGCGGGTATAACCCTGGTAAACATATATGCACCCAATATAGGAGCACCTAAATATATAAAAAAACTTCTGGAGGAGATCGACAGCAATAGTCATAGTAGGGGATTTTAACATCCCACTGAATTCACTGGAGAGATCTTCCAGACAAAAAATCAACAAGGAAACAGTGACCCTAAATGACACACTAGATCAAATAGATTTAAATATGTGTGTGTGTGTGTGTATATCTTTATTGATTTCAGAGACAAAGGGGGAGGGATAGAGGGAGACTGAAACATCAATGATGAGAGAGTCATTGATCAGCTGCCTCCTACACCACCCGCCCACTGGGGATCAAGCCCACAACCTGGGCATGTGCCCTGACTGGGAATCAAACCTTGACCTCCTGGATTATATGTCAATGTTCAACCGCTGAGCCATGCCGGTCGGGCTAGATCAGATAGATTTAATTGACATTTACAGAACATTTCACCCCAAAGCTCCAGAATATACATTCTTCTCAAGTGCACATGGGACATTCTCAAAGTTAGACCACATGTTAGGACACAAATCAGGTCTCTACACACACGTTCAAGGAGATTAAAATTGTATCAAGCATCTTCTCAGATCACAATGGCATGAAATTAGAAATCAACAATAGTAAAAAACACTCAAAAACATTCAAACACATGGAGGGTAAATAGCATGTTATTAAACAATGAACAGGTTACCAATGAGATCAAGGAAGAAATAAAAAACTTCCTGGAAACAAATGAAGATGAACACACAACAGCCCCTAATCTATGGGACACAATGAAAACAGTCTGAGAGGGAAGTTCATAGCACTCACTGAAAAAACAAGAAAAAAATTTTTAAAATACACTAACCCTATAATTTAAAGACTTAGAAAGAGAACAACAAGCACAGCCCAGAGTAAGTAGAAGGACGGAAATAATAAAGATCAGAGCAGAAATAAATGACATAGAAACTAAAAAAAAAAAATACAAAAGATCAATACAAAGAACCAAGAACTGGTTCTTTGAAAAGATAAACAAGATTGATGAACCTGTAGCTAGACTCATCAAGAAACAAAGAGAGAGGACCCAAATAAATAAAATCAGAAATGAAAGAGGTGAAATAACAACTGACCCAACAGAAATAGAAAGGATTGTAAGAAAATACTATGAACAACTATACGCCACCACGCTGGACAACCTGGATGAAATGGACAAATTTCTAGAAAAATACAACCTGCCAAAGCTGAGTCAGGTAGAATCAGAGAACCTGAATGGGCCAATAACAGATGATGAAATTGAAACAGTAATAGAAAAACTCCCAGCAAACAAAAGCCTTGGCCCAGATGGCTTCACAGGGGAGTTTTACCAAGCATTCAAAGAAGAATTAACACCTATCCTCCTCAAACTATTCCAAAAAGTCCAAGAGGAAGGAATACTTCCAAGCTGTTTTTACGAGGCCAGCATTAGCCTAATTCCAAAACCAGATAAAGACACCACAAAAAAAAAAAAAGAATGATAGGGCAATATCCCAGATGAACACAGAAGCTAAAATCCTCAACAAAATATTAGCAAATCAGGTCCAGCAATATATTAAAAAGATCATACACCATGACCAAGTAAGATTTATTCCAGGGATGCAAGGATAGTACAATATTTGTAAATCAATAAATGTGATACATCACATAAACAAATTGAAAGACAAAAATCATATGATCATATCAATAGATGCAGAAAAAGCAGTTAACAAAATCCAATACCCATTTTTGATAAAAGCTCTCAGGAAAGTGGGAATAGAAGGATCATACCTCAAATAATAAAGGCCATATATGACAAACCCACAGCCAACATCATACTCAATGGGCAAAAACTAAAAGCATTTCCCTTAAGAACAGGAACAAGACAGGGGTGTCCACTTGTAACATAGTACCGGAAGTCCTAGCCACAGCCATCAGACAGGAAGAAAACATAAAAGGTATCAAAATAGGAAAGGAGGAAACAAAACTGTCATTATTGGCAGATGACATGAAATTGTACATAGAAAATCCTAAAGACTCCACCAAAAAACTACGAGATTTAATAAGTGAATTCGGCAATGTAGCAGGATATAAAATTAAAACCCAGAAATCAGTGGTATTTTTAATACACCAATAATGAACTCACAGAAAGAGAAACTACAAAAACAATCCCATTTACCATTGCAACAACAAAAAAAATTAAGATACTTAGGAATAAACTTAACCAAGGAGGCAAAAGCCCTGTATTTGGAATACTACAGGAAACTGCAAAAAGAGATAGAGAAAGATATAAACAAGTGGAAGAATATACTGTGTTCATGGATTGGAAGAATTAATATCATTAAAATGTCCATACTACCCAAAGCAATCTATAGATTCAATGCAATCCCTATTAAAATACCAAGAGCATATTTCACAGATTTAGAACAAATACTGCAAAAATTTATATGGAAAAAAGACTCCGAACAGCCACAGAAATCTTGAGAAAGAACAACGCTGGAGGGATCACAATACCAGATATCTAGCTATACTACAAAGCCATTGTAATCAAAACAGCCTGGTACTGGCACAAGAACAGGCATAAAGATCAGTGGAACAGAACCCAGAACCCAGAAATCGACCCAAGCCATTTCACTTAATTAATATTTGACAAAGGAGGCAGGAGCATACAATGATGTAAAGACAGTCTCTTCAATAAAAGGTGCTGGGAAAATTGGCCAGGTACATGCAAAAAAATGAAACTAGACCACCAACTTATACCATACACAAGAATTAACTCAAAATGGATAAAAGTCTTAAATGTAAGTCATAAAACCATAAAGATCCTAGAAGAAAACATAGGTAGCAAAATCTCAGACATATCTTGTAGCAATATGTTTGCCAAAACATCTCGTAGGGCAAGAGAAACAAAGGAGAAAATAAACAATGGGACTACATAAAAATAAAAAGCTCCTGCACAGCAAAAGAAACCATCAACAAAACAGAAAGGGAGCCCACTGTATGGGAGAACATATTTGCCAATAATACATCTGATTAGGGGTTAACTTCCAAAATATATAAGGAACTCATGCAACTTAACAAAAGAAAGACAAACAATCCAATTAAAAAATGGGCAAAAGGCCTAAAATAGACACTTCTCTAAAGTGGACATACAGATGGCCAAGAGACATGGGAAAAAATGTTCAAAGTCACTAATCATCAGAGAGATGCAAATTAAAACAACAATGAGCTATCAATTCACACCAGTCAGAATGGCTGCCATCAAAAAATCACCAAATGACAAGCACTGGCAAGGATGTGGAGAAGAGGGAACCCTAGGGCACTGCTGGTAGGGATGCAGACTGGTGCAGCCACTGTGGAAGAGTACGGAGTTTCCTCAAAAAATTAAAAATGGAACTGCCATTTGACCCAGTGATGCCACTTCTAGGATTATATCCTAAGAAACCCGAAACACCAGTCAGAAAGAATTTATGCACCCCTATCTTCATAGCAGTATAATTTACAATAGCTAAGATCTGGAAACAGCCCAAGTGCCCATCAGTAGATGAGTGTGGATAAAAAAGCTGTAGTATTACCTGGCCCACATGCCTCAGCAGTTAAGTATCGACCTATGATCCAGGAGATCAAGGTCTGATTCCTAGTCAGAGCACATGCCCGGGTTGCAGGCTCAATGCCCAGTAGGGGGTGTGCAGGAGGCAGCCGATCAATGACTCTCATCATTAACATTTCTATCTCTCTGTCTCCCTCCCCCTTCGTTTTTCTGAACTCAATAAAGACATATTACAATTTTTTTTTTTTAAAAGCTGTGGTATTTACACCATGGAATACTATGCAGCTGTAAAAAAGAAGGATCTCTTACCCTTTGGGACAGCATGGTGGGACCTGGAGAGTATTATGCTAAGTGAAATAAGCCAGTCAGAGAAAGAATCACATAATCTTACTCATATGTGGAATATAATGAACAAAACAGACTAAGGAACAAAACAGATCCAGAGACATAGAAGCATGGAACTGACAAATCTGAGAGAGAAGGCAGGAGTGAGGGAGTGGGTGGGGAGAGATAAATCAAAGAACTTATATGCATATATGCATAACCCAGGGACACAGACAATAGTGTGTGGAAGGCCTGGGGGTGGAGGGGAACAGGGACATCTGTAATACTTTCAACAATAAAGATAAATTTAAAAAAAATTGGTTTCCTTGCCCTGGCCTGTTTGGCTCAGTGTTTAGAGTGTTGGCCCATGGCCTGGAGGGTCACCGGTTCAGGCCTGGTTTGGCGGGGAGGAGGCAGCCAATTGATGTGTCTCTCTTGTGGATGTTTCTCTCTCCCTGACTCCCCACCTCTCCCTCTCCTTCCTCTCTTCCTTCCACCGTCTCTAAAAATCAGTGGGGGGAAAAAATGTATCCTTAGGTGAGGACTTAAAAAACAAATTGGTTCCCTTATTGATGTCAATCAATCCAAGGACCCAGAAGGCTTAGGAGTATTTTATCATCTTATCCAAGACCTGACGTGTTTGGTTTTCAGTCTTATTGGATTATACTTCAAAATTAAGCCAATCTAGACTGAATATTGGTGTGCACACACGGGGGCTAAGAGCAATGTGACAATCTGTGGAAAGAAGGCAAAGTTATGCATCCTGCAGGTGGCTTTGTCCCTTACCTTGCCGTTGAGGACGATGTTCTGACTTCCGCACAACACTGACTGGCGGCTGACTTTGTTCCCCGACGCCTGGAAGGAAAGAGCAGGAAATGAGAGGGAGCACGCCGAGTGGGTTTTGGGCTACAGGTTTCCACCAACAAAGTTCATATTGGAGAGAAAATGACTTGAAATGGCGTGTAGTCTACCATGGAACGAGTCCGTAATTTCAGTAAAGCAAGGGTGATTAGGAAACGAGATTCGGAGGCCGGGCCGAGCATCTGCAAGCGGCCGGTCTGCCTACAGCCCGGTGACATCGGAGACGGGCATTCAGGCCCCCATCCCACGCCTCGGGCCGAGCCCCTATCGCAGAACTGTGAGAGTTCAGCGAAAACCAAAACAGCAGGAGCAACGTTGACTGAGCAGCTTACACACATCATGTATTGACTCTGAAGTACCTAACGTAATTAGCACGTAATAAATCAGGTTCGTCCTTAAGGGCCCGACGCCTGGAGCTGTAATTGATATCAGGATGGACGAGACTTGTCCTGCTTTCTCGAAAGCATTTTATCTCTACGAGGAGATCAGGATTCAATGAAAAAGCCTACACTGGCCGTTTCAGGAATAAATGACAAGGCCGGAGCACACACGCCCGTACGCGCCTCGGGACCCGCCGGGGCGGGGCGGGGCGGGGC